CTGGGGTTCCAGGTAAAGTCCATGGATAGTTAAAGTCTCAGGGGTGGTTTCAGGTGGGTCCAATAGGTCCAAGGGTTGAATAACAGGAGAGTGTACCAGGTGGTGGGTGTCAGGGTGGTGGTTCTTGATATCTTCCCCAGTAGAGGCAGAACCTCTATCTTCTACTGAGTCTGCTTGCCATTTCCCTGCTGCTTGGTCTTCAAGGGACAGAGGGGGGCAATATGGCCTGGTTTTCTGCACCTGAAACAGGCTCCCTTCTTTCTGAGCTCAGTCTTCTCAGCCTCAGTGAGTTTGGAGAGAGGCTTCCCAGAGTTGGTGGATATACTATCTATATCCATAGGGACTACTCCAGAGTTCTCAGTCTTGGTGGCCTGGCTTCTTCTCTGGTAGCTGAACTGGATCTGGTCAATCCTATCAGCTGTTGCTGCAGCTGTGGCTAAGTTGATGGTACTGGTGGGATGAAGCTCCAGTTGTTCCTGAACCCTGGGTTTAAGCCCTCTGATAAACTTGTCAAACTTTTCAGCTTCTGACAAGTTATCCACCTGAAGGCATAAAGTATTGAACTGGTTCAGCTACTCCTTTACTGAGCCTTGTTGTTTGAGCCTGGCCAACTGGTCTCTTGCTGCTCTGGTGGCATTTGCTGGGAGGAAGTTCTCTTGAAGGGCTCTCTTGAACTGATCCCAAGACTGGATTCTGAGAGGGGATCCTACTGGGTGGGTCTTGACATGGCTTGCCACCAGACTTCAGCATGGAGTTCCAAGTAGGTGGTGGCTACTAACAGTTGGCCTTCTGGTGATAGATCTGCAGCTGCCTGGAAGTACTCTTCAAGTCTGAGGAGGTATGTCCTAATCTCTTGGACATTCCTGTTGCCTTTGTAGGGCTTCAACTTGCTTTGGAGGACTTTTACCAGGGATTTATCTACTCTGGGTTGGTACTGAGCAGTGGCTGGTGTGGAGGATACTCATCTAATTTAGCCAGAAATGGCTAAATCTGCTTATTTATCTAATTCTGGTCAAATGAATGCTTACACCATCAGCAAAGTCATGTGACCACTAGTTTGGAACCACATCTAACCAGTATAACCATAGCACTGACAGAAGAATTCTGTCACAATGGCATTTTCTTCACTTAGTGACAAGACCAAGATAGTTCTGGGAAGTGTTAGATCATGACTACAAGCTTGTCATAGTATTTTTTGAACTACTTATTTACATCTGTGCAGTGGAATTTAGCCTTGAAGTAACTAATCACAAGATATGTGTGGTTCACTTCCTCTTGGCAAGAAGACAGGATTCTGAGAGCTAGCTTAGGGCATTTATGGGTGTATCTACTGGTCATGAGTTTGATATTTACAACTGTACTATTCTATAGCTACTAAGTAATATATAGTTGTATCTATATTATATAGTTACAAAGCTTTACACCTGGGGCAATACTTAAATTGAACTATAATTATAGTACTGAGTTTCACTATTTACCTGCAGTATGTTTGTACTTAAAAGCTGTATTAATTAACCTTTTTTAGTATTTAATAATTAATAATATAAGTTTTAATATTGCTTTCTAATTGGTCTAATGTGCAATTTTCTTAACCAGTAAGATAATTATACTAAATATTACATAACTGACTACCCTGAATATAGTATATCTAAGGTTTGGTAACTTTGTCTCTATGATGGAATTAAAGTCTGTACAGTCTTAGATGCTTGAGTGATATTTCTTTGGCTTTTAGTACTACAGTAATGTAGCTGTGTCCCAAACTTCTGTATGCAGTAATTATACATAGAATATGTGAAAGGGTGGTGGTGCATGGCTCAATGCATGACAAGATGTTGACACAAGTACACTGTCCTCTCATAGGTTCAGGCCATGGAATCTACCATACTGTAACTATCCTAACTACTGGGCAAGAGCTGGAGTGCTGTAGTAGAGGGTAACTCTATCCAGTGACTTAGGTGATATGGCAGTACCTATGGCCTAGTCTGTCTGTACCTCAGTAAGACAGGTGCTAGTAGTGGGATCCTGTGTAGGGATTAGTATACAGCTTTACACCATACTAAGAACTAACTGTCCATCTTATATATCTGAGTTAATCCATACTGTATTGTCATCTACAGTTCAGCTTGTCCTTGTTCCGGGGGCCCTGGGGCTCCTGTATTTATATCTATCCTAAGACCTACAACTAGTCTGAAAAACCTTTTTACAGCTTGTAGTCCAGCATGGCCTGATCTACTAGGTCACCTGACCGTACTAGGTTATCCTGTCATGTGCAATACAATCATCTACATGCGAAGTCCCTCTGCTAGACATCCCTTTCACAAATACTCTGAACAATACTCATATCTACTCTCTTTAGAAGATGCTCCAATTGCAAGCAGATCTTTTTGAATTGAAAAGAAATGTGTGCAAGGCAGATGCACTGCACTCCAAAGAATTACACATAAGAAATATCAAATGGACATCTCCATCCACATTATTTTTACAAAAACATACTCTTACTCAACACCTCACTCTCCCCCTGATTTATTCCAATCTTTCCTGCATACCCCCTCAACACTTCCTCACTCTCGGCCCCCACAAATCGAAAATATTCTGTGAGCGCAGCCAAAACATCTTGGTCCCTCTTGTCATTGCGTTGTTGGAGGTCGGTGATGATACGGTCGATGAGGGTGTACGGAAGCCAGCGGGTGAAGGATTGATGAGTTGGGCGCGGATGTTGTTGCTGTTCAAAAAGTGAGATACGATAGCCAGAATGCATTGGTTGCGCAAAAATACCTCTTGGATATACTGAATGGTAAACTTGGCGGCTTGGTCCACTAAATCGTGCTTCAGGTAAATTCTGATTAAATCATCCGGGAAATGCGTCTGCTCAAGATAAAAGGTCATGAGTATCCATTTTTCGACGGCAAAGAGACGGAGCGCATACCTTGTAAACTCTAGTCAACCATAAAGGTAACTTGACCTCTCGATCACAAAACAACGCCCGATCAATCACCGCTTTGCGGTACTTGAACCCTGTTTCCTCGCTGTCATGTCGCTCTAAGTACTTTTTGAGTGCATCCCACGCATGGTCGGAAGAAGCCGTCGTGTCTGATGCAGGTAAACCCCTTACATATTGTTCATTAGCGTGCGCACACCCCCAAGCAAGACGATGTAAACTCACCCGGTAGCCCCTCGGTCCATCCAAACACATCCCTCAACCAAACTCTCAAACACCCTAGTCAAATCCAACTCAAACAGCCGTCCAAGGGTCAATGCCTCCTCATACATTTCTCGCTCAACATACAACACAAGGGCATCTTCGGGATATGGTAGTCCGACGCTGACTTGGTCAAGGTCCGGGGAATGGAGGTGGAGTTTGGCGTGTGCTAAGGCGGATTCCTTGCGGAGGTCGGGAAGTTGAACAATGGACATGAGGTGGCGACGTCTTTGGTCACTCTCAACACGTCGACGCTTTCGTACCTGTAAGCCAAAAATGTTTTTCAAAAATCGGACAGGATAAAAATGACCCCCCAGGAAATCAGAACACTCATAGTACATACCCTCTCCGCACCCAACTCTCCGTCACGTTCCGGTGCAACAAGCCAGCAAAAATCTTCGGGGACCATGCTGAGGGCAGTTACTGCAGCCAAATAACTTCGGGCCTGCTCTACAAGGACCTTGTGCATAGAAACACCTGTTCCGTGCAGTCCCTCGCTTAGGCGGTTGAGGCGGTGTGCGTAAATGTACATGGTTGAAGCCGCTAATCCCCCAAACCGGGAAATACGGAGATCAGCTACAGCGCACTTACACCCATCCAATTCACAAACTCACCATTTCTGTAATCCCCTCTAGAAATGTAGAAAGTATACAAAATGCGATGCCAATTCGGTCCGGTCTCTTTCACACCCCTTTCTATGGACGTGACCCTCGTTTTTGCTATCAGCTCGTACTCTACTTCCTCAATCAGGCCATTGAATGTCAACCCATTGCATAACTCATCAATGCAGTTGTTCTCTGCGAGAGCCGAGACTAAACTTTTGAGCCAGACGAGACGGCTGGGAAACCAAAGGTTAGTCGTTGATCATAGGGAGACCGGAAAGGGCTATATACATACGTGGCACGATCGGGCATGGTCAGGACAGCTTTGTGGGCGTCCTGCCAAGATTTCAGGTCGAGGCTATACATAAATATGGCCTTGCGGAGGGATTTTATGTATGCCTCTGATAGTTTGTTCACTTCCGCAGTCTGCAACCATCAATGAATACGCTTCTTCTTGTGGATCTCAACAAGGAAGGAAAACGCACCTCTCCAGTCAACCGCTGAAGAACCTCCTTTCCATACTTGATGACAAGCACTTTGGCACCCTGGTCCATGAACAAATCGGTAAGATGGCGGTAATACGCCGTTCGACCACCATCAATCACTTCATCAGGGACAATCACAGTCAAATCATTTCCAGCCAGAGGGACATTTTCGCCAAAGCTCATGACAGCGTCCTCGAAACTCCGTTTGGCTGAGTCCCAATCCTGCTCTTCTACATATACTCGTCCTCGTAAATACGCCACAGCAGCAGAAAGCGGTAGACCAAACACAATCTCCCGAACCGACTCGGGGGTACCCAATCCTATGATTCTGTTTGTCACGCGAGCAATCTCTCCAAAATCGGGTCCAGAAAACCCTGTGGACCACGAGAACCACCCAACAGCTTTCGGAATCAATGCTGTGTAATCTGTTGCTTCGAAATCCAGGGGAGGCCGGTAGGCCTGTGACAGGAGATGGGTGACAATCCGCTCCGGTTGAGGCAAGGAAGGCCCTAAGGGAGGGTTGGCGGCTTGAACCCGGGTCACACCCATCCAGTACGCTGCCCGCCAAGCATAGTAGCCGGAGAAGCAAACGGACAAGACATCTCCTTCTACTACCTCTTTGCAGACGAACAGAGCCACCAACAGTACCATCAGTGTATCCTTGATCATTCGATACCGATCCATCGCAATACGCTCAAAAGCAGTCGCAATAATCGTATTGGAGAAAACGCTGGAAGTTCCAGGTACAGTGCCCATCATGTCCAGTGAATCTCGACCAGGCATACCCAGGAGAAGCTGCACAAAGATTTCCACGAATCGTGGAGGGATATTGCGGTAACGCTGCTCAAATTTCGTAAAGTCAACGCTGGTTGTGAGCGGGTGAAGGAACTCTCGAAGAAGCTGGGAAGATAAAGCACTAATGTCCTGGCCACCACCGTCTGCCACAATCATTTTTACTCTGTTTTCAATACCCCGGAGTGCAGATGGGGGTACGTGAGTACGGACCCATTCGACAACGCCAAGAAAGGCCGTGAGTCCCTCCCTCAATTCAGGATTTCCAAAAAATGACGAGGCCTCTTCATCCATGACCGGGGATCCGAAAATCGCAAAGTCGGCTGGATCCACCACTCTTGTTTGAATACCGCGTATCAACTCTGCTGGATCGGAGTCACGAACGGCGACGAGGACACCGCGCTTTATGATCGTGATGGAGCCTGCAGACCGATCGTATTCAATGGCACACGGGCTGTTGCCCAGTTTATGCACGTCCTCACAGAGTTGAATCAGTTTCTTCAGGCTGGATGCAACCTCGCCATCTCTCTCGCCCTCTGGCATTATGACTTGTTGCACAGCTTGCCTCAGCGCTTCGGGTCTGTCTCCTTTGGCGCGACGTCCATCCCGGAACATGGCTGCAGTCTGCGTCTCATACCGCCCCAAAGCTTTGAGAACAGTATTTTCCGAATATCGCTCGCGAGAACAAATGAAGTCCAAAATATCCATTTCAGAGAGGCCAGCGGTCAGATCAAGGGGTTTGGAGCAGCCCTGTAAAACCGTAGTCCATCTGCCTTCGGAGGCTTTTGGTGAAATCACTGCGTTGGGGTCATCGGCGTCCACTTGCCATAGTTGCGTAAATCGTGCCACACTCTCCCCGTCCTTTTCCCACAATCCCCAAATCCACCATGCGTATGCATTCGCCGTCATGGCGTTATCCACGATGACAAAGTCAATAAGTGTTTCTGGTTGCGGTGAACGGATTGACATCTGTTCTGAGGTAGACCCTTCTGGGGGCACCGGCTCCTCCTCGCAAGAGGGAACATGTTTCGTACATGCTAATGCAAACTCTTGCATATCACCATACTGGTCAATCCTTCCCCGATATATGGCAAAAAATGGGTCGCCATCTTCAGCCGGGGGAACATAGACAGCCACCTTGAATTCCACCCCCCTCATTGAAAAAGCGCCCATGACCGTCTCATACTGCTCTAAATCAAACACTTGGATATAATGCCGGGGTGTTGGGTCGGTAAGGTGTCCCGTTTTGGGTTCTTCTTTTGCACTGCCCATGCGCTGCGGTGCATCCAAAGGAAGCGCGATCGTCTTCCACTTGCTTTTGGTTTTCAGGTTCCAAATCTGAAGCTGTCGATCCCGACACAAAACAAATTCATAGAACCGAACAGAATTCAACGCGATAGGCTGTCGGCCGTCCGTGCTTGCGGGTGTTGTATCCCGGGATGCGCCCAGGAAGGGTGACAAAAAGTTTTTGATACGGGCCGGGGTTGCAGATTTCAGTTGTTGGATGTAGTTTGTTTCAACCAATTGGTGTTCCAAGTAGGTATCTTCTATAATCGATTCACGACATTCTATTAGCATCTGCTTTCGGAAGCATGATAAGACATACCACTCACCCTCATTCTGGCCATCCTCCTTCCTTTCAACCACTACAACCGCTCCACCTTCACACCCAACTACAACACACCTCTCATCCGGAAACTGCACAACCCTCACCCTCTGCCCGCTGACCAACTTTATCCCATACTTTTTCACAACCCTCCTCCTCCACCCTTGCTCATAAAACACATCTGGAGTAGGAAATGAGGCAGTCCACAACGTCCCACAGGCACTCACACCCTGAAAACGGACTTCGGATCCGTCGTTTGAGAGGTACACTCGCGGCGTCGGACATATTGGTGTAGGGAACGTGATTTGAACAGGTGTATTGGTATGCGTCACAGTAGGAAGATCGTTTTGGATATCAAGGGATATACCATCCTCTCTCTGAGAAGCCGTAAACACCCTTCGTAATTCCAGGATCCGACCATCATTCATTAATCGCCATAGAATGAACGATGGCGGGTAGAGTTTGGAGAGACCTACAATGCCACTGAGGGGTGGGGAGCGGCTGTGAGTGGGTAGGGGGGCCGTTGAGTCGGTGTGATGGGATACGGGGCGGACTGTGGGTGGAATATCGAGGGGAAATGGCGTTTCGATGGGGAACGACATGATGTTTTACGCGATCTCCGGTTCAGGTTTGGAGAGATCAAAGCGGAACGCTGAGCATCCAAAACAGGTCGAAAAGGATTGCCAGTCAGAAAGAAGAACCTGCCCTTACAAAATATACCGTCTCTACTCCTGGGGAACGCCAACAAGACCACTTCTTCACCCAAACGATACTGCAGATTTGGCCAAAAGGTTTCCTTCAACAGATCTTGCGTTTGCTCCTCAACAGCCATTGGCTCCACATTGGAATGCATATGATTGCGTAATCAACGATCGCCCTCCCACAGCGGGGATTTCACGCCTGGACGGATGGGAAGACGGTTTTTTTAGGGTAGGATGATGAACAACTGTGCTCTACCAACAGAGGATAAAATTGCTAAATGTCTCTAGGACGCTGTTATCTTTTGGCGTGGTTTATTCTACTTGCTGTGTCATGACACTGTACATTTGCCATATCATTGGCTGCTTGGCAAATGCCCACGGCTGTCTGCCCATGGCTGCCTGCGAATGCCCAGAGAACCAACTCTTCAGAGGGTTAAGCACTCGCTGGTACAGTGCTTACTTACATGGAATGCGAAAACGCTTGTGTTTCCACATACGCTGTAGCACCCAAATGCATAAAGTTCATATCCCTGCCAAATACACTGCACATTACCACATGCTGATTTCAATGCAGACGCGCATCGTCACTCTTCAAACCTTGATGGGAATCATTTGCAGTTCAGCCCTTTAGTGTCAACCCGAAGGGACACCAGGTTAGGTAAGCCAGACTCCGCCCTTTTGTGTGTGGAGGTACTATCGTATAAAAAACCATACAGGAGATGACACCATTCGTCACTCATCGACACAGATCAAACATGCAGTATACCGTTCTAGTACTTGCTCTTGTGGCACTCCTGCCTTTCACGACATCGTACCCAACCTCAGCCGGAACCTGCATTGCCTCTCCAGATCCCATTGCCGCCGTAGGGGCAATGGGCACACTCGCACCAACCCTCCCTATAACTCTCACAGCAACCCAAACAAACACATCCACCACCGTCACACTCAATGGCACCGGCACATTCGCGGGACTCCTCCTCTACGCTGCTCCTACCATCGACGCACAACAGCATGTAGGAACTTGGAAGGTGGATAATGCCTTGTACAAGACATTGGATGGGGGGCCGGAAACGTTGGATTGTACGGGGTTTGGAAGAAGCAGTACGCTTTCGCATGCATCTCCCGCCCCGAAGAATTTTCCTGTAGAGTTTACGTTGGAAGGTGCTGCGGGGGTTAAGGTTTGGGGAGTGGTAGTTGTAAGTGCAGAGGTGGGTTTTAGGGCGGTGGAAAGTGGCGTGGTGTAATGAAGGCATTCGGATACTTGACATCAATCCAAGGTCCAAAGGTGCATCGACCTGTGTAAAGAATTTGAGAAGGGTTCATGACATTATACACGCATTACGCATTATCCTTGCGTGCAGCGTAGGTGTTCCAATAATATCATGTTAGTTACGTTGATATATCATGACTACCTGTGCACCTCCACACATGCAATGTATTTGTCGGTGATGCTCCCTTACATGCTATGGCCCCCCGCCAAATAACCTTATTGCTTATTTAACATACATTCGCATGGACCATAGTAAACGGACCCAGCCAAGGCACAATCCCATGCCTCCGCATCTACTAAACGATATGCAAAAATGGAGGAGTTTATATCCTTTGAAATGAATGTAACCGTAAAGAAGCCAGCCAGCGGCGGTTGGAACCATTGCCATATAAAGCTTAATGGAAATCAGAAGATCTCGTCATAAGCAAATTTTGGACTTTTTTGTGTGCGTTTAGGTAATGCATTTTGGGACTCCGCTCACGCACAGGTAACGGACGGGGGTTTCGACAACGAACGACGACAAAGGACGGCGGAATAGACAAACGAGACCGACGAACGGAGACGATGGCACGAGCGTAAGACGCTTGACGAGGAGGAGGAGGAGGAGGGCAAAGCGAAGCATAGACACGTGCGAGCGTACGTAACGCATAGAGCAAATCGACTTTACACGCTACAAAAATAGCAACATAATACCCAAGCGGACCCCCAAGCACCCAGTCCGCCATTCCCATCCATTCACTTTTACTTTTTCCTCCGCTCCCCATCCCATCCACACACTTACACAAGGAGCGTAGCCCTCTACCCAACACCAACAGTTCCTTGTTAACCATGTCGGTCAATGTGGGGAATTCAGAGTTTATGCCCCTCCCGACCAACCCGAATGCAAAGATTACGGGTGTACATGAGTCCTTGCTGCAAGAGTGCGAGAAAGATATCATATGGTATCGTGATAATTTCTTTGGCAAGGGTGAGTTTTTGTTTTCGCACGAGCGTGGAGACGTTGACTGGGAACCATTGGCGACCAAGAGTCAAGAAGGAGATGAGCTGCGGAATTGTATGAATGACCAAGAGTTACTCGTGGCAACGTGAGGGAGTTTGCAGTATACTGCAGCGAGGGAGACTGGAAAGGCAAAAGATTCTCTGGCGAGTGACACGTTTGGATCAGGAGACACAGTGTGTGGGAACAAACAGACAGATGGATGGCCATTCAATGGGGGCTTGAACATTGAACCGATCCAAGCGTCTGTTTGCGTTTATAGGAGATAACCGCCGATTCTGCTCATAGCTAATCCTCGTTTCTCTTTTAGCGCACCAAAACTACCTCGCCCTCGACTCACCTCGCGGCCCGCTCGCCATCTCCATCATCCGAGACAGCGACACTTACAAAGCTCTCGTCCGGACCACATCCGGCAGCGAGCGGCTCTCCGTCTCTAGCAGCGGCATTTCCATCGCATGGTGGCGCAAGGCCTTTGGGCTTGGTCCAAGCGTAAACAATCTCATGGAATCCATTTCGAGGAATATACCTGTACCGAATTTGAGGTTGTGCAAGGATCCGAATCTGGGAAACGAATTGTTGGCCATGGAGGAGCGACAGGTGATACGGTCTTACAAGTTTGGGGTTGCATATGTAGGGCCTGGCCAGTGCTCTGAGGAGGAAATGTTTTCGAACCGCGCGGGTGAGTTTCTTGATTACCATGAGTGAAATTTATTTTCTGTTGGGAAATGTTGACATCTTTGTGGACTAGAAAATGCTTCACCCAAGTTTAAGGAATTTTTAAACTTTCTTGGCGAGACAATAGAACTCCGAGGTTGGAAAGGGTATCGTGCGGGTCTCGACGTGAGCGGAAGTATGTATACATTCGCATTTACATCCCAATGTCTATACACTCACTTATAATACGCGCTTTCTTACCCAACTCCTTAGGCAACATGACAGGAACGCACTCCATCTACACAAAATGGCAAGGCTATGAAATCATGTTCCACGTCTCCACCCTCCTCCCCTACATCCCCGGTGACCGCCAGCAACTCGAACGCAAACGCCACATTGGCAACGACATTGTCATCATCATCTTTTCTGAATCCGACTCCCCCTTCCAATTGTCTTCTATCACGTCCCATCAGAATCATGTTGTGGCTGTCGTGAGTCCAGTGGAGGGCGACCGGTATCGGTTGACGGTTGCGCCAAAGAGCGGGGTACCTGGGTTTACGCCGGATTTACCAGAGCCCTGTGTGTTTGGACGGGATGCTGTCAGTAGGGATTTCTTTTTACACAAGTGTGAGTATATTTGATTTGGTTTTGTTTCGACTGCCTTTTGTATGGTTGTTCTAACCCGTACGTTGCTTTAGTGGTAAATGGCGAAAGAGCCTCTTACAAAGCCCCCAGCTTTGCCCCTAAAATCTCACGAACACGCTCTGTTCTCCTCTACGAAGTCGCTTCCAAGTTTCTAAAATGAAAGAAAACACTCAAACCCCCCTTTTGCCCACTATAATGGACGGCCTGTAGGAGAGTTCTATTGTTTTGTTCTTGTGTGTGTGTTTTTGTTTTTTTTGTTGTGGATGGTGGTGGTTAGAGCATGGGAAACGTAATTTATAATGTCTGGGTACTGTGCTCTTTCTGTTTGTCATTGCTGCGTTTCTTGTTTTTTTTTTCTTGTAAACCCATCGTGTGTCAACAAATGACGATGACCAACAGCGCGTGTGGATCATCAACTATAACCTTATTCGACGTTCACCAACTATTCGCCAGAGATCATGCAGGACACCATATTCCGTCCTCCGTATCAAGATTCCTGCATAGTACACGTTTCTTGGCACATATACCTGCAAAACCTCGAGCATAACGTTCTTATGATCACTCCTGAGTTGTTTTGGTTGGTACGAAGCCTACACTTTGTTACCAAACTCTTAGATGACTACAAACTGGTAGTTCCCCATTCTGTATTATAATTCTCAGCACTGGAATTTCCATGGTAACATACCTGCATGTTTTTTAGAAAGTTCTTTGGGCCCTGCATGCAGAAAGGGTACATCTCCAAAGATAATGCACGTTATGGACAGGGTTATGGATGAGCTGAGTGGGTTAGACGTAGATGATAAGGTCGGCACATTGTTTTGAATATTGCTATCATGCATGTGGTCAAAACCTTGGGGACCATGGTAAGAAGGATCGTTTGCCTCTCAAATTGTGGCGCAAGGAGGTTTTCATCTGCCAGACAGTTGATATTCCTTGGCTCCTGTTCTAGTGCCATAATAGCCAATGTGACCGATATCCTATCGCCACATTTAACATGGTTTGCCAGAGAATACATTACATGGAATAGGTGTGAGATTTTCACCATACGGGGAGACCTATCTCCCTGCGAGCATCCCTTACAAGGAAACCCTTGTCCCCAATTGGCTCCAGTCTTGCAAATTGTTCGAAATACTCTTGAAAAATACCCAAAACTAGGAGCGCTGCTGGTCCATGCACAAGTGCAGTCGCTGCTTTCACCTTCTTCTTTCCATCCACAATAGCATAAGTGATACAATTTCATAGTGCGGAGCCGATTGGTATTGGCACTAGTACATAGATTCCAACCAATTTAATCATAATTTTACTCGATTTAGACTCATGAACTATGGTTTGATCCAAAAAATCCTATATAAGTTGTCGTTGCCCATTTTCCCAGGCTTTCATCTTTTCCCACAGATATCATCAATGCCACCAAAAAAGAAGCAAAAGCTTGAAAAACTCGACAAACCCACCTTACATACCTGCAACAAGACTTCCTTTGCAAAAGCTTTCCTGCCAAACTATCACCAACGGCTTCTAGATTACATCACCATCATCCATCAACTCACCAACCATGCTTCCCATGCTCTCAAATTCTACATCCTATCTGCACCAACCTTCACTGTGAATGAGGAGACCATCGAAGCGATTCTCTATCTTCTCAACAAGGGGGAGGCTTGGCATCCAAGAAAGGAAGCAAAGAAGGCATGGCGGGATTGTTTGCTGCCATATGTTCAATGGTACTGCCAAATCATTGGCTTTGCTCACCCAAATCTACAAGGTGAGCAGCAATCAGTCAATTACCTGACAGCAAGTATGATGATGAACCTGAAAGTCAATGTTCAAGAGCATTTCATGCAGATGCTCCTTCAGTACATTAATCTGTGGCTTGATGTGAAGGGACAGAAGCAGTGACTGAAAAGTGATGCGTGAAACACTTTCTTTGCTCGTCTTTGCTACTTGAAGTCAATTTTCCTTTTTGATATTGTGCCCAAGTCACTCAATGACTTAACTGCTGAAGAGAGTGAACTTCTAGAAGAGATTTGGTCACTTGATCTGCCTTTTCTTGTTGACCATCCACTCACCTATGCAGTTGTCATGGATCCAATGTCCTTTATCCCTGCCTACTGTCAGTTGTCAAGCCTATATGAAAAGCATGGATTTCGATGGTTCAGTGCAATCCCTCTTCATCAGTCACTGATTCAGTCCCATATTTGCATCAACATGGTCATTCTCTATGCCCACATCCTCTGCATCACCCGCCAAGAAGCACAAGCCATAGAGAAGGTCGATTTATGGATGCGCATCTGCAATCTATGTACCAAGGCTTTTCGGTCTTGCTGTGATATGCAGTTTGAAGGCTCGATCACGATGGATGGCACCTCAGTGTCAGTTTACTTGAAACATCCTGAAGCTGACAAGTATGGAAAGCACAGCAGTGGAGGGAAGAAGTCAGCAAAGACCCTAGAAGCTGAGGTGAAGGCAGTATATGTGGAGAACAACTTGCCTGCTTGTTGAGCAGCAGAGAATGTCATCATTATCGACCCAAACAAGCATGACATTCTCTACTGCCAAGACAGTAATGGCACGACATTTCACTACACTGCCAACCAGTGAGCCGTGGAGACTGGAAGCTGTCGATTTGCAAAAGAATGGCAGCAGATGAAAGCCGGCGGTATTGACCTCATAGAATCATGAATACCATCTCACAAGACAATGAACCTCATGGACTTTACTCACTACCTTCTCATTTGCCGTGCAGATTCAGATTGTTGAAAGGAGTTCTACTCACATCCTGCCCACACACAGTGGAAGTGGCATGCATTTATAAACTGTCAGAAGAGTGAATCAAACCTCATATCCAACATGCGCAACAAGTTTGGGAACTTCACCATTGTGATGGGTGATTGGAGTGATGCTGGTTGAACTGCAAGATTTCAGACCTCATCAAAGATGAAAGGTTGGTGCACCCTCTTTAAGCGCAACAGGATCAACTGCTTCCTTCTTGACAAGTACAAGACCTCATCTGCCTGCCCTCACTGTTTGGCCTCATCTGCTGACTTCCTTGAAAAAGGCTTCAAAACATGACCTCATTCAAGACCTTGGTGCCATTGCAAAGGCAAGATTGAAAAAGTCCATGGATTGCTGGGTTGTACCAACCCTAACTGTCAGCAAGCCTGGACGATGTGCTACTGGAACAGGGACATGCTGAGCACCTGCAACATGCTGATGATCATGAAATCTGTAGCGGATTTTTTGTTGGTAGACTATGGTAAAGCCAACTTGGGTCTCCTAGCAGGTTATGTGGGTGTCCGTACTAGGAATCATAGTCTCCGAATCCTTTCTTTGGGCATCGGTAGCGAATTGGGGGCGAGAGGCAAGGAGAATCAGTTAGTTGTGAACCGAGCAGGATTTAGAGGCTTCAGTGTGGGTGATCAGGCCGTTGAAGCACTCTGTTAGGTTCCTGTTAACCTAAGATTGGAGTTGAGAAGCTAGTTTCTTGGGGATTTAGTGTCACTATGGCTTCTGCCCATGACTTATTTTATTGAATTTGTTGTTTTATACAAGAATATGCTATGGTAACATCTACACTAGTCTCTGTAACCTTCATTAGGGTGGCGGCATCCAATATTCCCATTTCTGATCATTGCCATGATCAATTATGACTGCGTAACATATCCTTTGTGCTGCACTGGTGTAGCCCAGAACCAAACTTGATCTCAGGGGTTTCGAAGCTCAGGTTACAATTGCGGAAACCTCAATCATGGTCACCTGATGCCTTTGAGCGAACCGGTTTATCAGAGTCATTCGCTACATTCCCCCTTCGAAAAAGAAGGTTCAGCAACTTGCATGCAAGTGTTTGAGACCTTGTCTCTACCATGACACAACTGGATAGTTGTCATCAGCTTCAAAGCTGTCTTCGTTGATTGTCCAGATTATGGTAGTGCGCCCCATGATGTTTGCGCAGAACCAAATTTGGTCAGTGGCTTCCGGAGCTGGGGTTCCAGGGGTCTTGGAACCATTGGCTTGGGTTACATAAAGGGCTGTGAACATCTCTGCGGCCCTTTTCAAGTTAACCGCTTGAAAGTGGTAATAGGAGTGCTCCCGATGTTTGGGATGGAGCTGCTCTTCTGTGGTTTCAGCTGCATTGGCTAGCTTTAACAACACTGCTCTCGTGGCTTCGATGGCTATCTCTGCAAAATCATGGGCTTCGCAATCGGGCCAGAGGGTGAAGCGGGCCATTTTGGGGTTTCCAGCCACATGTTGAGGGACCCCAGCATCAAGCCAGGCAGCGCAGGGTACATCCCGTAATCTCTTCCCTATTGTTTTTGCATTGGCAATGATACCGACAGCTGCTTGACCACCATCGGAAGCCCTACTGTAGGGCTCTGCAATATGCATCATGAGGGGCTGGCTTGTGGCGTATGGCTTCGAAGCCCCGTCAACCACCCAATCTTCACCACGATAGTGTTCAAGAGGTTTGTTTGGGTCTTCGTACAACTCATGAATCCAAACTTTGACCCAGGTGGCCATAGCTGCTCCGAGCCGCTCAATAGAGTTCTCGGCAGCAAAGGCATCGCTTACTTCTGACCAGGGATAGCCTTCCTCAAGGGTAGAGAGGATGCTGACTCCTTGTTGTCATCGGATATTGGTGGTCATGGTGTTGGAAATGAAAGCTTTTGTTTTGGTGTCAATAGAAAAGGTTTGCGAGGCAGAGTAGGTCTGTAAGGGAAGTAGGTTGTCAGTAGTTGAAGAAGAAAAAAGAGGGGGGGCAAGCAGGGGCATCCTTTTAAGGTCATCACCAGCTGATTTTGACAGCTCGGACACACATAAGCATGATCGGGAGGCTTGGTGTGGCATTCTCGACTGGTGAGGTAAGCCACATGAAGCTGGTTTTCATTCTGGTGAGAGGGCATGATTATCATGTGAGCTATTGTCTGGATAAACCACGAAGCATTGGTGGTCAGAAGCATAAGCTGGGGCATCGCCTGCAAAGCTGACTACCAAGGAGTCCTCTACTAGTGCACTAGTGGGAGCTCTGGATCTCCAGTACTCTTCTAAGGCTTTGGAAGCCTCTGTTAGGGCTTCCTCTGGTTCCCAGGTATCCTCATGGGGTGGGTATCCAGCCCAATGTATTCGAAATTGATGCTTTCCACACCTGGTTCGATGGTCTACTATTGCTTCCACTTTGAACTCACCTTCTGGAGTGTCGGAATTCTCCATTTGTGCTTCCGTGACTTTTTCCTCAGTTTCGCCATTGACAGGCTTCTGGTATGGACATAATTTCAATATGTGAAACCATGGATGAAGTCATCTCATCTTATCTGGCAGTTTTAACTCATAGTTGTCACAGAGAAGGTTACAGTCAGTCACTGTGACTGGTCCCAGCCATTTTGGAGTGATCTTGGACTCATACCCTGCTAGGTTTTTCATGCTCAGAAGCACCTTATCTCCTCTCTGGAACTCCAAATGTTGTTGTGATAAATCATAGTATCTTGTAACAGGCTAGCAGGGACAAGAAGACAACAGAAAACTAGGGAAGACTTGGTTACTACTTGTTATTTTCCTTTGAGGGGCCTCAGAGAGGTCCTCTTTTTATAGACAAAGGGGCTGACAAATGCTATATCCTAACTACCCAATCAGATCTCACCCACATCATCCTAAACTATTTGTCAGCCTATTGCACCATTTGCAACCAATCAGAACTCATACATGTCATCCTAAACTATTTGTCAGCCTATTGCACCATTTGCAACCAATCAGATCTTGTACATGTCATCCTAAACTATTTGTCAGCCTATTGCACCATTTGCAACCAATCAGATCTTGTACATGTCATCCTAAACTATTTGTCAGCCTATTGCACCATTTATAGCCAATCACAAGTGAGACAAGTCATCCTAAATACACTGTGCCACTTGATTGAAAGGGGCAGATGCTAGTGTGTCAGGATACTCATCTAATTTAGCCAGAAATGGCTAAATCTGCTTATTTATCTAATTCTGGTCAAATGAATGTTGACACCATCAGCAAAGTCATGTGACCACTAGTTTGGAACCACATCTAACCAGTATAACCATAGCACTGACAGAAGAATTCTGTCACATATCTTTTCTGTGAATCCTGGGCCTCAATCATCAGATCTCGGATAAGGATGTTTAGGTCTCCGAGATGTTTACAGAGCTCTTCCACATCTGCATTTCTGGTTTCTGACGGCCTTTCAATGATGGAGTCATGGTCTGAGATAATAGTCTCCGGAATGCTGTGCAATGGGATGTAGCATTCTATAAATAGTTCTGCGACCTGAGTAGCTGTCGCGGTGCTCTTGAGGGGCCATACGTGGATCCTCTTTGAGCATTTACAAGCTATTAGCCAAAAGGCATCATACCCTCTGGAAGTAAGTGGGAGCTTGGTTACAAAGTCAGTCATGATGACTGTCCAGCATCCCAGAGCTGGTGGTATGGGTTTCAGCAACCCCAGAATCAGTTGCGGTACCCTTTTTGAGCATTGGCAGGTTTCATATCCTGTGCAATGTTTTCTGAAATCTTGTGCCATCTTTGGCCACCAGACTTGTGCTGTGGCTCTGGCGTAGGTTCTTTCGAATCCGAAGTGTCCTCCCCCCTCGTGAAAAAGCTTGCGCACCTTGGGGGTGCAAGCAGGGGGCACGTAGAGGCACCAAAGGTCTTCGGAGACTGAAAAACGGTGCCACAGCAGGTTATCTGCACATTGCCACTCCTGAAGAAAGCGCGCGTTGGCTGTAGTGTAGGTGTCAGGGCTGGTCTCCCATAGGAGCATGCGGGCCTGTTGGGCTATGGGGTAGAGCTGGCCAGTGAGGCCAGCGCAGATGGCGGCAATGAGTGCAGGCTGTAAGGCCAGACAAAAGACGGCATCTGCCAGTGTCAAGGAAGGTGCGAGAGCCGCTGGTGTGGTGCGCAGCCATCGTCTTCCGCGTTCCGCCACCCATATTTGGGTTGCGGTGGAGCAGAGTAGGGTTTCTGCTCCTAGTAGCCATGAAAGTGTATCAGCGACAATGTGAAAACATCCTGGTTTGTGAATGATTGTCATCCATTCAGACCAGTAACTAAGATCGAGGGCCCAGCAGAGAAGCTTATGGTTCTCGCCTTTGTATTTAGTGAGCCACAAAAGAGCTTGGTGATCAGTAATGACTGTGAAAGGCAGGCCTTCGAGGTATGGGCAGAGTTTTCCAAGGCCCCAAATGAGGCATCCGGCCTCGAGTTTGACGGGGGGGGCCTTTTTTTCTGAGGTGGTGGTGCCTCGAGAATGGTAGCACAGCGGGCGGTTAGAAGCATCTGGCTGTAACTGTTCGAGCATGACATTAAATGCTGTGTAGGAAGCGTCACTGTGAAGGGTGTAGGGGAACCCTTTTCTGGGTGCCACAAGCACTGGAGCTGTTGTCAGAGCCTGCTTGGCGGCTGCGAAGGCAGAGTTTCGGGAATCAGTCCATGAAACTTCACGCTTCACAATAAATCTGCACAGACCTTGGTCCGGGCGCTTGCAAGCAAGGCATCCGACACAAAAGGGGTCAATGGGTAAGTAAGGCTTGAGGAGTCTCACATGGAACACTGGATGAATCTTCATGGTGCTGGGGAGCTCCAGGGTGTAATTCTGAAATTCATCCTTGGCCTTGATTCTGTAAGGTCCAAGCCAGGGGTGAAGAAGTTTCTGGGCTGGCCTCTGGGCTTCTTCTTCTGGGGTGATACCTTCTCTAGATAGCCAAACTTTGGAGCCTAAGGGGTAGCTTGGGGCCTTGCTGAGAGACTTGTTGGCTTGCTGAACTTGTCTTTCTTGGGCCAGTATCATGTTATCCTTGGCTACTTGAAGCAGTTGCTGAATATACTGGTGGAAGTCTGTTGCTTCAGGATCATTGCTTTCTCCTGGTGGTGTTGCTGGGGTCCTGGGATGCTGGCCATTCTCTAAGTAGAATGGGGTAAAGCCTGTGGTTTCTGAGATACTGTTGTTGTAGGCAAACTCAGCAAAGGGTACAAGATCTTCCCAATTCTTCATGTTGTACTGCAGGAAAGCTCTCAGGTAGATCTTCAAAGTCTTGATGGTTCTCTCTGCCTGTCCATTGGTCTGCTGGTGCCTTGCAGTGGCTAGGAGGGTGTTGCAGCCTAAGAGTTGCATCAAGTTGGACCAGAATGAACTGGTGAACTTGGTGTCTCTATCAGATACAATCACTTCTGGGAGGCCATGGTGCTTGAAGATGTGCTTCAAGAAGAGCAGGGCCAGGTCCTTGGCTGAGGCTCTGGTGGTGGTAGGGATGAAGTGGCCTCTCTTTGACAATCTGTCAACAATGACAAAGATGGCATTGTGATCAGAGGAAGTCACAGGTAGGTCAGGGATCAGGTCAATGGAAATCTGGCTCCATCTGGTCTTAGGTACTGGGAGGGGCTGCAGCAAGCCTGCTGGTGGTTGCTGACTAGGTTTGCTTCTCTGGCAGGAATCACAAGACTTGACATACTTCGTAATGTCCTTGTACATCCTTGGCCAGTAGTAATGCCTTGCTAGGGCATCATGGGTCTTGGTGATGCCAAAGTGTCCAGCATACTGAGTGTCATGGGTTTCTTGGAGTAGGCTCAACCTTAGGTCTGGGTCACTAGGAACAAAAATCCTGTCCTGGAAATAGAGTAACCCATCTTGATGGCTGAGGTATTTGAGCCTTTGTTGCTGGTCTTCTGGTCTCCTGGGGTCATCCAAAGCTTGGATGAGCTCTTGAAGTTCTGGGTCTTCTGTGGTACTGGTCTTCAATCTCTCTTGAAGGGTGCTGGTGGTGTGGGTCACAGCATTCAACTCTGCTGTCACCAAGGCCTTGCACTTGATGCATCTTGGGGCCAGGTCTGGTCTTCTAGACAGGATGTCTGCCACTGTGTGGAGTCTTCCTGGGCCATAGCCAATCTCAAAGTCAAAAGATTGGAAATTCATGACCCATCTGGCTTGTCTTCTGGTCAAGAAGGGCTGGTTCTGTAGCCACTTGAGGGACTGGTGGTCTGAGATAACTTTGAAGGGGGTTCCTTCCAGGTAGGGCCTCCAAACTCTGAGGGCATCATGGATGGCTAACAGCTCTTGTTGTCTGGTGTCATATCTGGTCTCTGCTGGAGCCATCTTCCTGGAGTGGTAGGCAACTGGTCTCATGCCTTTCCCATCATCCTGTCCAAGCCATGCTCCAACTGCATAGCCTGAGGCATCAGGGAAGACAGTGGTAGGCAAGGCTGGGTCAAAGGGTCTGAGTACAGGGGCTTTGGTGACCATATCCTTCAGCTGCTGAAAAGCTTTCTCCTGAGGTTCAGACCAGGTCCAGGGCTTGTCATTTCTCAACAGGTCTGTCAATGGTGCAGCTTGCTCTGCCAGGTCCTTCAGAAAGCTATGGAAGTAGTTCACCAGGCCCATGAACTGTCTGACTTCAGTGACGCTCTGAGGGGTGGGCCATTCTTGAACAGTCTGCACTTTCTTGGGGTCAAGCCTGACTCCTTCATGTGAGACTACATGGCCAAGAAACTCTACTTCTTGCTTGAAGAACTGGCACTTGCTGGGGTTGGCATACAGCTTGTTCTGCCTGAGGGCTTGCAGAACCTGCTTGAGGTGGTCCAGGTGATCTTCTGGGGTCTTGGAGTAGATGAGGATGTCATCTAGGTAGACAATAACAAAGATGTCCAAGAAGGGTCTTAGAACATCATTCATCAAAGTCATGAAAGTGGCTGGGGCATTGGTCATTCCAAAGGACATGACCAGGAACTCAAAGTGACCATATCTGGTTCTGAAAGCTGTCTTGGGGATGTCTTCTGGGTGGATCCTGATCTGGTAGTAGCCTGACTTGAGATCCAGCTTGGTAAAGACCTGGGCTCCATTCAGTCTGTCCATCAGCTCATCAATCCTAGGGAGGGGATATCTGCTCTTGATGGTGATTTTATTCAGAGCCCTGTAGTCCACACACATCCTCAAAGACCCTTCTTTCTTCTTGACAAAGAGGATGGGTGCTCCAAAGGGGCTCTTGGATGGTCTGATGTGGCCTGCCTCCAGAAGTTCAGACAGCTGCTTCCTCAGTTCTTCTAACTCCAAAGAAGAGAGGTGGTAGGTTGGTCTCCAGGGGGTCTGGTTGGGGGCACTGAGTTCAATTCTGTGATCCACTGTTCTCTCAGGGGGAAGTCCTGGGGGAAGCTCTTCCACAAAGACATCTTGATAGTTTTCAAGAAGCTTGGTGACTTTGGAATCCATGGTGTCTGGAGGGGTGCTGGTATCTTGAGGGTTCTTGAGATACACAGCAAAAGCTGTTGCTGTCCTCTTCTTCAGTGTTCTGACCAACATCTTTGCTGATACCATGGTGATAAGATTGGACTTCTGGGATTTGTTGGAAGAGCTGGCCTGCTTAACAAACCATCTGACTCTGGGGTGCTGGGAGGTGGTGAAGGTCACAGTGTTCTTGTTGTGGTTGATACTGGGATTCCTCCAGGCAAACCAAGGTATACCCAGGATCAAGTCAAACTTGATTGGGGCTACTATAAAGTCTGACTGTTCTGTGTAGGTTCCTACTGAGTACTGAAGACCTTTGACAAAGCCTATTTCTTGGTGCTTTCTGTCATCAGCCATAGAGATTTCTGCTCCAGGGAGAGAATGAGTCACCAGTTGTGCCTTCTTGACAAAGGACTGTGACACATAGAGTTGGTTTGCCCCATTATCCAGGAGAATGGTTACTGGGATTCCTTGGATTCTACCTTGCACAGTCAGCAAGTGACTCCGGGGAATCCTTGGCCCTTTGGGGGTACTTAAAGAGTATGGAGCCACCTCTACTACATGGATCTTGCTTTCTTGGTAGGTGGCCTGGGTGGTCTGGGGTTCTGGGGTTCTCTGGGGTTCCTGGGTTTTCTGGGGTTCTAGGGTTCTCTGGGGTTCTGGGGTTCTCTGGGGTTCTTGGGTTCTCTGGGGTTCTGGGGTTCTCTGGGGTTCTTGGGTTCTCTGGAGTTCTTGGGTTCTCTGGGGTTCTTGGGTTCTCTGGAGTTCTTGGGTTCTCTGGAGTTCTGGGGTTCTCTGGGATTCTGGGGTTCTCTGGGGTTCTGGGGTTCTCTGGGGTTCTGGGATTCTCTGGGTTTCTGGGGTTCTCTGGGATTCTGGGGTTCTCAGGGGTCCTGCGATTTTCTGGGTTTCTGGGGTTCTCTGGGATTCTGGTGTAGCGAATGACTCTGATAAACCGGTTCGCTTAAAGGCATCAGGTGACCATGATTGAGGTTTCCGCAATTGCAACCTAAGCTTCGAAACCCCTGAGATCAAGCTCGGTTCTGGGCTACACCAGCGCAGCGCAAAGGATATGGTACGCAGTCATAATTGATCATGGCAATGATCGGAAACGGGAATATCGGACACCGCCACCCTAATGGAGGTTACGGAAACTAGTGTAGATGTTACTGTAGCATATTCCTGTATAAAAAGATGAATTCAATAAAATAAGTTGTGGGCAGAAGCCATAGTGACACTAAATCCCCACAACTAGCTTCTCAACTCCAATCTTAGGTTAACAGGAACCTAACAGAGTGCTTCAACAGCCTGATCACCTGCACTGAAGCCTCTAAATCCTGCTCAGTTCACAACTAACCGACTCTCCTTGCCTCTCACCCTCAAGTTGCTACTGACGCCCAAAGAAAGGATTTTGGAGACTATGATTCCTAGTACAGACACCCACATAACCTGCTAGGAGACCCAAGTTGTCTTTACCATAGTCTACCAACAAAAAATCCATTACATGGTGGAGAAGTGCGACGAACTGCCTTCCCCTCTCAAATTCAGCTGAAAACCTTATTCGGTCGTACCGAAACTCTTGCACAAACCGAGATCTGCTCAGGTAGCTACTCGGAAACCTTTTCTCTCGTTTCGGAAACAGACTTCATGAAACTGAGAATGATGCTGGTCGAACGCTCTCCAATGTGAGGCCACTCACCTGTGATCCAGACTTGTAGTCAGGGTCCAGCGGAGGACGTCGAAGTCCCTCCCGCAACATGCCCGAGACATTCAGGGACCACTTCCGTCGAACCGGAAGCCCCTAACTTGGCCATGATGGCCTCTGAAGTGGCAGCGTTAAAAGAAGACATTGCCCACTCGACTGCTGCAATGCAGTTGGCAACTCAAAATCTTACGGAACAGCTTCATAGGCTTTCCGAACATCAGACAGTGGCAGATGAGTGCCTCGCACGAGCCTTAGAAGCCCTAGTGCCACTGCCTGAACAACCTCTCATAGCACGAGCTACAAGAGAACAGTCTGCAACCCCATGGGAAACATTGGACACACCAAGGGAGCATATGGAACCAAGTTTTTCAGGTCTGGTGCCTCCAATCCAAGTGCCAGCAGCCCCATGGGCCAGCGACACTAAGGTCGATTCCTTGAAAGCAAAGGACATACCTGAGTTTATGGGCAAAAGAAACCAAGATGTTGAAGAATGGCTCAACAAAGTCCAACTTCTTCAAAATGTTAGCGCAATGTCAGATGCCAGGATGGTACAGCTCCTACCAGCCATGATAGCCAAGAAAACCCCTGCCAATGCTTGGTTTTACACTCTGGAAGCCCAGGAAACTTGCTTGTGGACCTGGAAAAGGTGGAAAGAAGAACTGCTTCAAGAGTTCTGAGATCCCCTAACCAAGTCCAAGCGCAAAACCAAATATGTGCACTGCCATGTGAACCCCAAAGAATTTCGCAGCTTTCTCACATTCATCGACCACAAAACTCATCTCCGGTGCCTCACATATGGCGACCGGGCAAACATAATATATCCCACTGACCAGCATTTTGACCTAATAGTTGAACAATTGCCCAGCGACATCCAAATCATGGTCAAATCCTGTAATGTCATGAACCTGACCAAATTAAAAGACTTCCTGCGCCTTTATTTCAGCTCTGATGACACCAGAAAATGAGACCCTTGCTACAGCGGTGCTGCAGAAGCTCAGAAGAAGTCACAAAAGACCGGAACTGACAAAGGCCCTAAGCAGACGGCTCAACATAAAACTGGAAACCCCGAAAAGGGTCACAATGGTCCTCAGAGGATGGTTCCGGACCCCAACAAGGAACCACCAGCACCCTGCAAATTCTGTCAGAAAAAGCATTGGAATGTTTTCTGCTGGCAGAACCCGAACCGAAAAGATCCTGAAGATGGAAAGAAGGGACCATACGGAGCACCCATGCCCGCAGGTTGGAAACCCAAACAGGAGTCCAAGAAGTCGTACATAGTGGAGCTGGACTCGACGTCCGCTACCACCGAGACTCTTTTTTCGGCTTCGGAACTGGAAAGGACAGCCGCCGCTAATCAAGGATTCCACACCATTGGATTCTTTCATTCACCCGAGCACTCGGAATCAACAATTTTGATGACCGCACCTCTTTCCGAGGTCACGGTGACCAAGGAAGAGGACCCCCGCATGCCCACGCAGGGCTGGGACCAAGTCTGGGATAACATAGCCATCATCCGGGGCACCCCGCAAGTGGCTCTGATGATGGGCGACAACCCCCGCATGCTCAGCTTCTTTGCCAAAGAACCAAAGCGAGGTGCTGGGCACCTCAGGAATGACCCCTATGCAGTTGCGTGGAGTTCCCACCACCTCTACATCACTGCTGCAGCCAAAGCTGACAAGGATCGAATCCTGCAAAAAGTCCGAGAGGATGGTACCCCTTGTTTGATCCTCCTTGCCTGGATAAGGCTCGACAAGCATGAGAAATTCTTGATGTGGAGCTCTGAAGACCCTGTTATCTTTGATTCTTACGCCAACCTGCAACTGGTGGCATTTCTCCTGACAGGCAATATTGTTCACTCAGACTATTATTATCATCACGGAAACCCCAAATTTCTGCACGTTAAAGACCATCCACATCTCCAAAGACATGAAGAGAGTGAACGGATGTATATAGTCATGCTGGCTATCAAACAAGTTGCTCGCCAGAATAAAACAACAAAACCACAAAACAACAAATCTAGGGAGCACTTTGAGAGTGTGATCAAGGCCATGGAAGCAACAATTAATGACATCATGCCCCATTTCGAGGTTGTGGTGCCTTCCATCAATGCCTTCTACTTGGTAGATTTAGGCGATGTACTCAAAAGCCAGACCAAGACCCAAATGCAGCCTTGCTGGATGCTAGCTGTCATTGCTCAGCTCTGGGCACCTGTGGTACTAGACACAGGAGCCTGCGAGTCTCTGGTTTCTGACACATACCTGGGCCTTCTGTTCTCCGAAACTGATTTACAGGATGTGGAAATGATGGCTTTCAACAGCATTGGTGGACGTATCTCATCTACCAAGACAGTGTGCCTCGAAACTTCCCTCAGAGGCCATGGAGGAGAATACCTGACTTTCTGCACCTACTTTCGGGTCATTGCATATGGGAAACCTCTCATCATCCTAGCCAACGACATTCTGGGACATCTGAAACTCCAAACCTTGGTTCAGGAACCCCCATTACCCAGTTTCGTGGTGATGCTCAAGAATCCGGACATCCTTATCCCTTGCTCCATAACAGATGAGCTGGACACCGATCACATGCATGGCACGCCATACAAGACCAAGCAGGGTGAATTCATGAAGGATGTGTCAATGCCACAGCTGACCAAAGCCAAAGCTCAGAAGTCTAGATTAACCATGTTAATCACAGGACAGATGCGCGTGGCAGCCCAAACTTTTCTCATCGAAAACCCTCTTGAGGCCACCGCTGCTAGCTCAACGGCCCCATTAGGCCTCAAACTGTCCACCACAACCCATAATTTGGTTGCAGACCCTGAAGAGAACATTTCCAAAGAAGAATGGCAGACACTTCGGAACAAATGGAACCTCGACTCTATGGAGAAGGCTCCAGGGGCCTTCGAAGCCCAATTAAAAGATGCAGAACGTTTCCACATCGATCTCAAGTGACCCAAACCCGTGGTCTGGGCCCTAATCAACATTCTATGACACTTCCATCAAGCCTTCAGCTATGAGGGTCATCTCATAGGGAACTACACTAAGATTCCCTATGCACCTTGATTTATCTCGGCTCCACCACCCCTTTTGAGGCCATGGTCATACTCTCCGTTGGAGCGGACAGCCCTTGAGCTGGAACGAGACACCATGATGGGGCTTCAGAGGTGGAAATGAACCACCGAAGTAACCTTCACCAGCAATCCTGTTATCATTCGCTATGCAGACAAACCCCCGTGGGTAGCCTTTGACTATCGCCGAGCCAATGACTGCATGGCCTGGGATCCATATCCCTTTCCCATCATGCTCAACATCCTGAACTGGATCGTTGCAGTCCCATTCCGATACATATCGGGAGGTGATGCAAACAAAGGATTCTACCAAATTGCCATCACCAATGTGTTGGTACACAAATGGCTTGTGATCAGACTCCATGACAGCATCTATGAACCACTCTTTATGCCCTTCGGACCCAAGACTGCCCCTTCACACTTCTGTCGGGTGATGGATGACACCTTGGGTCCCTCCAAATGGCGAAATATCAACAACTTCATCGACAATATCCATACACAAGCAGAGACAGCTGCGGAAGCCCTAGATGCCATTGCAGACTGGCTCGACTGCTTTTCCAGAGCCAAACTCACCCTAAGACTCAACAAGTGTCAATGGCTCTTTCACCAGCTCACGGCTCTCAGTTTTGTTGCCTCCTCTCAGGGTCTTGCTACCGATCCAGACAAGGTTGCAACCATAGTCGATTGGCCACAACCCAAATTCATAGGTGACCTATGGTCATTTGTGGGTCTCCTAGGGTTCTATGCCCAATTCATCTCTCGCTACGTGGAACTCATCTGGCCCCTGCAAGATGCTATCCAAGAGGGCGTTCGCATATACCGAGACCTTAAAAAGGGTCGCGCTGACCCAAAGAAAGGTGCTGAAAAGCTCAATTCACCATCCATGCTTGACATGGCGGTGGCCCCTACAATCACAGCCACCAGAGCCTGATTTGAGGTTTCGCAACATCCGAAATCTAGCTCCTCAGACCTACCGGCGGTCAATCTATGCCAATCATCGCTGGCGGACTTACCCATTGACCCCTTTTGTGTCGGATGCCTTGCTTGCAAGCGCCCGGACCAAGGTCTGTGCAGATTTATTGTGAAGCGTGAAGTTTCATGGACTGATTCCCGAAACTCTGCCTTCGCAGCCGCCAAGCAGGCTCTGACAACAGCTCCAGTGCTTGTGGCACCCAGAAAAGGGTTCCCCTACACCCTTCACAGTGACGCTTCCTACACAGCATTTAATGTCATGCTCGAACAGTTACAGCCAGATGCTTCTAACCGCCCGCTGTGCTACCATTCTCGAGGCACCACCACCTCAGAAAAAAAGGCCCCCCCCGTCAAACTCGAGGCCGGATGCCTCATTTGGGGCCTTGGAAAACTCTGCCCATACCTCGAAGGCCTGCCTTTCACAGTCATTACTGATCACCAAGCTCTTTTGTGGCTCACTAAATACAAAGGCGAGAACCATAAGCTTCTCTGCTGGGCCCTCGATCTTAGTTACTGGTCTGAATGGATGACAATCATTCACAAACCAGGATGTTTTCACATTGTCACTGATACACTTTCATGGCTACTAGGAGCAGAAACCCTACTCTGCTCCACCGCAACCCAAATATGGGTGGCGGAACACGGAAGACGATGGCTGCGCACCACACCAGCGGCTCTCGCACCTTCCTTGACACTGGCAGATGCCGTCTTTTGTCTGGCCTTACAGCCTGCACTCATTGCCGCCATCTGCGCTGGCCTCACCGGCCAGCTCTACCCCATAGCCCAACAGGCCCGCATGCTCCTATGGGAGACCAGCCCTGACACCTACACTACAGCCAACGCGCGCTTTCTTCAGGAGTGGCAATGTGCAGATAACCTGCTGTGGCACCGTTTTTCAGTCTCCGAAGACCTTTGGTGCCTCTACGTGCCCCCTGCTTGCACCCCCAAGGTGCGCAAGCTTTTTCACGAGGGGGGAGGACACTTCGGATTCGAAAGAACCTACGCCAGAGCCACAGCACAAGTCTGGTGGCCAAAGATGGCACAAGATTTCAGAAAACATTGCACAGGATATGAAACCTGCCAATGCTCAAAAAGGGTACCGCAACTGATTCTGGGGTTGCTGAAACCCATACCACCAGCTCTGGGATGCTGGACAGTCATCATGACTGACTTTGTAACCAAGCTCCCACTTACTTCCAGAGGGTATGATGCCTTTTGGCTAATAGCTTGTAAATGCTCAAAGAGGATCCACGTATGGCCCCTCAAGAGCACCGCGACAGCTACTCAGGTCGCAGAACTATTTATAGAATGCTACATCCCATTGCACAGCATTCCGGAGACTATTATCTCAGACCATGACTCCATCATTGAAAGGCCGTCAGAAACCAGAAATGCAGATGTGGAAGAGCTCTGTAAACATCTCGGAGACCTAAACATCCTTATCCGAGATCTGATGATTGAGGCCCAGGATTCACAGAAAAGATATGTGACAGAATTCTTCTGTCAGTGCTATGGTTATACTGGTTAGATGTGGTTCCAAACTAGTGGTCACATGACTTTGCTGATGGTGTCAACATTCATTTGACCAGAATTAGATAAATAAGCAGATTTAGCCATTTCTGGCTAAATTAGATGAGTATCCTGACACACTAGCATCTGCCCCTTTCAATCAAGTGGCACAGTGTATTTAGGATGACTTGTCTCACTTGTGATTGGCTATAAATGGTGCAATAGGCTGACAAATAGTTTAGGATGACATGTACAAGATCTGATTGGTTGCAAATGGTGCAATAGGCTGACAAATAGTTTAGGATGACATGTACAAGATCTGATTGGTTGCAAATGGTGCAATAGGCTGACAAATAGTTTAGGATGACATGTATGAGTTCTGATTGGTTGCAAATGGTGCAATAGGCTGACAAATAGTTTAGGATGATGTGGGTGAGATCTGATTGGGTAGTTAGGATATAGCATTTGTCAGCCCCTTTGTCTATAAAAAGAGGACCTCTCTGAGGCCCCTCAAAGGAAAATAACAAGTAGTAACCAAGTCTTCCCTAGTTTTCTGTTGTCTTCTTGTCCCTGCTAGCCTGTTACATGGTAGCACCACCTTAGACAACAACCCCAGACTCTTAGACCTTCTGTGAGAGATCAGAAGCTAAGATCCCCAGACCCCCAGACCCTGCCCTAGACCTTCTGAGTAATATCAGAAGACCAACAGACCCCAGACCCCAGACCCTGCCCTAGTCCTTCTGAGTAATATCAGAAGACCCCTGCCTCTTATCCCAGGCCCAACTTATGCCCAGAACCCCCCCTCAAGGACTCCTACAGACCAGCCCACACCACCCCATACCACAAACCTACCCCCAGCACAACCTCCAGAACTACCACCAGACACACCACTTGGTTAGCATCAGAAGCTCTGAGAAAACAGATAGAGTTTTTCTATTGTGGGATTGTGAAGAAGCTGTAGAGTCCCCCTGTATCCTCCCCACCAGTTGTACTTGCAAGTAATATTGCATATTTTGGGCCTGTGACCCACCCTATTTTGACTGCAAGTAACATTGCATCTCTTGGGCCTGTGACCCACCCTATTGTTGTTGTTACAAGTAATATTGTAACTACCCAAGACTCCACCCCATTACCACCATGACCAGCCAGGAAGAGATTCTCTTCAACACCATTGCTGAGCTTGACATAGACCAGGTCAGGCAGGAGCTTTATCAAGCAAAGCTCCAGCAGCTGAACTCCACCACACCAGCCACTGCTCAGTACCAACCCAGAGTAGATAAATCCCTGGTAAAAGTCCTCCAAAGCAAGTTGAAGCCCTACAAAGGCAACAGGAATGTCCAAGAGATTAGGACATACCTCCTCAGACTTGAAGAGTACTTCCAGGCAGCTGCAGATCTATCACCAGAAGGCCAACTGTTAGTAGCCACCACCTATGTCGAAGAGATTAGGA